GGACGCGATCATTACTTGTAACAACTGATGTCGCCGCTTGAGGAATCGTGCAGCTAAAATCAGCTGATTGTACGTGCTGACGTTTACTTAATAATGGCTCTTCCAAATTCCTATTCATTTTGTAATAATATATATTATGCATATGTAATAATATATGTAGATTAATAGATTTTTTAGTTTCCATCCTTGCCAATGATGCACGTTACAAATGTGCCACGCCCACTTCACATTGGCGCGCCCTGTTTAATTTTCAAACCGTGGAGAACCCTGAACTTAGGTTAAACAAAACCCATCAATAACAACAAGAATCAGGTTTCTGAATACCAAAAATGCTTGATTGATAAAAAAAATGCATGCAAATTGGCCATCATGAATCAAATCACAGAACGAATGCATCTCAAGGTAGACATGAGAAATTTAAACATGATCAGTACGGGCATGTCTGATATACAGATGCTGACGGACAATGAAATTGCAAGTCCAAGGGACTAATAAAGCATGCATGTATACTTACAGGGTTGGTTTCTCCCAACATAAACCTTCCAGTTTTCACTGCATTTTTACCTTCCCATGCCTATAGAAAGATTAATAATTTAATGGAAATGATCAAAAATATAGAGTACCATAGTTCTATAGTTGGAACACCTTATTTGCGCAAAACAAACTCATCTAAAATCTTTATACAACTGCTCAACCACCCAACACGCACTTGCAACATTTATATATACTATTAATTTCACCTAGATATTATGTCTAATTGGCAAAATGTACAACGAGCTACACCTTTGAGTTTACTTCTACATTTTGTTTCCTCAATTGCCACTTTTTCAGTATTTACTTCCACTGATTTCTTGATGTCAATAAATAATTCAACCCCTCAAACAATTTTAAAACTATAAGCTCTAACTTTCTTTTCTGATTTTATTTTAAAACATAAAAGAGAACATTTTTTGTATCATTAGTGCCCCCTAAATGGTTAACACAAGTTATTTAATTTGTGTACTTGGGATTAAATCTGAGAAAACTTACTCATTATCATTTGACATTCAAAGATTACTATGAATAACCCAAGATCTATTAAATCAGGCCATGCATCTTTATAAATCCTGAGCAGTCTGCAACCACGAACATATCAGACAATGCATCTACATCTCTGCGTGTTTGTAGACCAGTATACAACCATGAAGGTATTAGAAAACTGTAAATCTTACCATAGCACATACAGGTCCTGATGACACATATTTACAAAGTCCTGGATAAAATGGTCTGCTTGCTAAGTCCTTGTAGTGTTCTTTTAAAAGATCTTCTGATGCCTGTTTAAAAAAACAACATTAATTATTACATAACCCTCGATTCTGCAAAATATATGAACACAAGGAATCACCAGACACTTGCACATACATTGTAGAGGTTGATGATGTACATTGTACTACTGTAAAATACTTTATTTTAGATAGAATTAATTTTTGGTGAAGGCATTTTGATTGTTTTGTATAAAGTTTTTGAAATTTACTAACTTTTAAAGACTTGAATATAAAAACGTAAGGAAAAAAGTATTTTCACTGGATTTATTCTCATCGATGCATTTCTTCATCAAATATAGCGAAAATAAATGCAAGTAAAAAGAAGGTACTTCACAGTACTTGTTATTGGGAAGCAGCAATCTGTTTCAGCTGCACTAAAAGTTTGAGGTACTGAAACAATTCTATAGATGAGTAGGGATCATACAGAGAAAATGTAAATCTGCAAACCACATAAAATAACTAGGCTAATAATCATTCCTGAGGTTCATGACAACCAGGTACAAAATACAATGTACCAGGGAGACACTTAAAATTTTTCAATTTCATTCAAATATTCAGTACGCTATTTCGTGACCAGAAATTCAAATCACATCACAACAATTAATTTGTTGATAATTATTTATTGAACACTTTGAATTCTGGTATACAACACGTCAAATTTTATTTATTTATATAATGTACCACCTTAAGTGTTTTCATAAAATATAGCCTACAATAAATACAGTTACAAGTTTAGTCATTAAGAGCAATACCGATATCACATTTTCCTGAGAAGTTGCAATGGCAGAATCGTGGCTGCATCAGACGCATAGCTGCGATTTACATGTACTATGAAATTTATACAAAATGGTTTTCTTGTTGTCAAACGTGCACCGTCAAATGTCAATAGTTCTGTAATTTCATCCAAACAAGGAAATATTTTTCACTGTCAGGTTCAGCCAATTTCCATCATTTTTTTTTAGTTGAAAGCCTTTTTAAATTTGAGTAACTTGGAAAAATTCAAA